TGGTCTGCTCTCTCGTTCCCATAAACTTGCTCTTTCAGGCTGAATACAGAAGTGATTCCATGGAAATAACTCAGTGACAGCTCCCCTTTTTTATCATCTGTATATTAATAACGTATATTAAGTCAGGCATGAGTATTAACACTGCAAAAAAGCTGTTTTTCACGCTGGCACCTGTGCATGTGGGTACATTCACATCCAATGGTTTCCCACCTTTTTCATTTCTGACAAAGCAACACAAGCGGAGACCCCATAATAAGCCGACGGTTAAAAATAGAAGCTCTGCATATGCACAAAGCCCAGATGCTTGGCTTCTAGAAAATGCAAATATTGTCATGGGCCCATGCTGTAATGCATGGAGTGTCTCTTTTCTTCTTAAACAGCAGAAAAGAAAAGACGCATGCAGTAAATAAAACTTTGGCATCTGAAATGGCACTCAATATTTTCCTTAGCATCAAGTTTGAAATGTATATTGTGACAACCCCTATTAGAACCTACAGCTTTCAGAACTTATATTTGCTCAAAACAGTTAACAGAATTTGTTTTGCATGCAAAGACAAACCACATAATTACAGTGGCCGAGTTACAATTAATTTCTGCTTGTTTTGGTCCTCCTTTTTTTTTCACTCCAGGCCCATAAGTCAGCCAACAAAACCTCAAACCTTTGTGCAGGAAGGCCAATTGGTAGCTTGGCTGAAAGCAAACAGCCTATCAGTCCGTGTGATACATCTGAGGGATCTCTGAAAAAGCATTGCCAGTCATGAGGTCATTCATTTGAGTGTCATTGTGTTTCTGTGAGAGGAGGAGGAGGAGGATTGTGGAAAGATATGAAAAGACCATGTGGAAAACATTTGGCAATCTGGTGATCTGATACTGAATCTGGAGTCAACCTTTTAATAGCTGAAGAGGTAAAGAACATCTCCTGGACCTCTTGAGATGAGAATAAATACACATTCAAGTGTTAGTTGATCAAATCTTTGTTTCAGGTGTCGAAGGAAAACCAAACAGCATCTTTGCTTTGAAAGGTTCATCAGTGAATCTGAGCTGCTCAGTTAGCAGTCAGGATGAAGGAAAATACTCCTGTACTGTAGAGACGATCAGCTCAGCTGGAAAGACTCTGACTGTATTAAGAGGAAGAACCGTAAACTGGGGTCCAGTAGCTGCCAAAATCTCAGTATCTCTCCTGGTTTGTTTACTTCTCTCTATGTTTGTGTTTTTGTGAGTATCACAGCGCTGCTTCTGGTCAACATTTTACATAAATTATGAATCTGAATTGGATGATTTATCTCAGTTTATCTATTTTACCAACCAGGAAGTTGAGGACCTTCAGTCAGTCTTCTAGAAGTGAAGCTGCCTTCAACATGGAGGAGGTAAGGCTGCATAATCTGGTTCTTTGGAAAAATATCCATCCAATAATCTGTGTCTGTTCAGATGTGTGTTCATATTCCTGTGCATTATTTTACTTTCTTATGAGGGATAAAATTTTCAGTTGAAGTTGTCTTTTTTTTCATTAGATAAACTGACCTCCTTTATGAAAATGTTCAAGCTAAAGTCAGTCAGCAACAAACAACATAAATCATCTTCCCTTCAGCATCATACAGTTTGAAGAACAAGAGGATGTCTTCTGTACATTAAGAATAATATTTCCTAATGCCTTTGATCAAAACAACAATAAACGTAAAATAAATTCTGTAAATAAATTTAATGTTCTCTGCAAATAAATGCAAACCACCCAGCACCATAATTGTTGCTGAATTAGATCCAGATTGTATCAGCTTATTGCACTTTAAGAATCTGGAACATGTTTTTCTAACGATGAAGCAACAAAAACAGAGAAAAAAATCAGTGTCTGGATTTATTTCATTTCATTTTATTTTGCTCTACTTTGACAACAATGGCTTCTAAATGATTTAGATGTTTATACAACCATATTATTGTTCATTATTCATGATTTCCATTTCTGTCTCTGGTAGATTTGCTCATTTGTTGTTGATTTGTACTGGATGTAAATAACAATAACCAAGGTAGAAAAAAGTAATCAAGTATTTTTATTGAGTTCTTTATGCTTCACATAAACTTGACATTATAAGAGGAATGTTTATGCTTTTAGAGTCACAGAAATGAAAAGAAGGATAAATTTAATCAAGATTGAGGCGCTGGTGGTTCAAAGTACAGCAACAGAAATGTTACTATTCCATGTTTTTCTCTTTAAATGCTAAATGTAAATTCTGACACTTGGCTGCATAATTGACGACAATACGGACACAACATTTAATGTATTAACAAAACTATGTATAATGAAGAAAACAGGTCAAAAAGCAGCTCAGTCAGCTGCCATTCATCCATTTGGAGAAGCTCTGAGAAAGGAAAAGGTTGACTACATGCTTTTAAAGACAGATTTTGGGTTTTAAAGTCATACTCAGTCATCCTCTGTCTCAGTCAGCAGAAACCTTTAGCCACCTGCTGTTTACCAAAGAAATCACACTATGGATAAAATTACCCTGAGATCAGATCAGCAGTAATACATGACATTACCATACAAGTGTTTTAACATTTACAATTGATGAGTTGATCTGCCTCTCTATTGAATTTCATCAAAGTCTCATAATTAATATTTCTATTTAGTTTGACCGTTTCTTTTGGTTTTAGTGGTTTCATGTTTGTCATTTTTTTCTTGGTTCAAAACTGCTCTGTGTAATGGAAAATTGTGTAATATGCCCCTCACCCCTCTTCTGCTTTAGGTTATCTGCATAGTCTAGTCATGAGATTGGTCAAGAGACCTCTGCAGTGTCATAACGGCCAACATACAACTTATCCGCCCTCGTTAGCATCAAAGAACAACCTCCTTTCCTTAACAATAGACAAATGGCCAGACCATCTGTGTTGGGCTCCACAGAGTCCCTGGTACATCACAATCAGAGATTCACACCTCTTGTCCAATCAAGTCTCTCTTCTCTGACCAGAACCTATAAAAGGAAGCCAGATCCAGAGCAGACTTGACATGTTCATTTGACTCTGTATTTCTGTTCTCATCTTGCAAGGTTTTAATAAATTTCTTATTTGCTTCTCATCCAGACTCTTGTTAAAGTATTTTTTTCTAAAACACTCTGTGATTCACAAGAAGGAACAGGCCATATATTCTCTCACATTTTAAGGTTCATATTTTATTTAGAAAAAAAAAGCAAAGATTTTATCTGCAAAGACAAA